GTATCAATTAACCCTTTACATCCTAAGATCAGTATGCTTATTCTCCATAATGTTTTCTATACATTTCCCAAGGTGCTGATAAGGAGATTTTGCTTAATAATCAAGAGCTCCTATACGTGTTGATCATTTCCATTATTCTCATAACGTTAATGCCTAATTCAGGACTGACACTTAAAGGAGAAATTAGATGCTTGGCTCTCTTTGGGGTTAAAGGGTTAGATTGATAAAATTACTGGGGTATCTATGAGAATACAAGGGTTTGCATTACTATGCAAGTGTATCTCTTTTTTCTTTTTTTTAAATGTCTTTATTTTAGCTTGTTAAACCACAATATTTCTTATCAAAAGCTTTGCAAGAAATTTCCAAAAAGAAAGAACTTCTTTTCCAAAACGTCACACATTTGTTTAAAAGTCTCTTGAATTGACAAACTCATCAACTTTGGAAAAGGATTAAATTTATCTTTCCTTGACGAACTAATCGCGTTCGAAAACTAAAATTATCACACTTTGGTTGGCTCATTCACTGAACTGATGACTTAAAAAAAGTTGGAGTTTTTTTAGTTTCGGAACTCTTATAAATAGATAACACTATATGCTGTCTTATTTCGGATTATTAAACTTAGATGTCTGATGATCATATTACAGAAGTGCTTTCCTCTGTGTATCGATCCGAGTTGTCCTTCGCAGATGGTGTCCTCTTTCTACAGGCTAGTAATTAAATAGTTCCAAGCTTTACTAAGTCTAATTCATTCTGCTACAGAGGTTTTATCAAAGTCTTTGCTCTTAAGGTGCGCTAGGCACCGGCCAATTTCCAAACTCAAATGTCACGTTGTCGCCCATGATCATAAATGGCGCCCATTGAGAAACTTTATCAAAGCCGTTATTTCTCATCCACTTCCTGGCCTTGTGGAGAGATTCACTGGCGCTTTCACCGCGGAACAAATGTCTGTAGAAACAAGTCATGAACTTCTCTGTGGCTCTGTCATCCAGGGCCCATCGTGCCGCTAACACTGAACGAGCTCCCGATCCTAAGAACGCTCGAGCAAGTCCAATAACTCCCTCGGTTCTAATCTGTCCACGAGCACTGTGACAACAACTAAGCACCACTAGTTTAGCTCGCAACTGAGTTTTTGAAATGTCGGCCATCGTCAAAAGATAATCTTCTTCTCGAGGGAAAGGTGGGAGTAGGGTAGGGTGCATAGGAGAAAGAGCAATTTCCCCTCTTTCGGCATCACCATGGGCAGCAATGTGTATCAGGCTCACTGAACTTATCGCTTGGAGTACAGAATGTTTTGTTGCGGAATCTCCTATCAAAGGCCTTATGCCAAGAAGTCCTCCAATCATCTCTGCTTCCTTTCTTGCATGCGGCAATGGTGTCATATTTCTGCACCTTCCCATGTAAATCACCGTTCCAACCACAGGGTCACCCACTATCAGTGCCCCGGTCTGACTGTGATAGTCTGGAGGACTGTCTTGAACAAGTTTGAGAGTCGTCAGGGAGGGAATTATCCGAATCCTGCATGTCTCTGATAAATACTTGCCTCCTTCGTCAGCCAAGGCTGCAAATGGCACCTGGTACACACAGGAATCAGGGACAATTATGATCTCGGGCTGCTTTAGTAAACTGGCCACAGGAGCAATGATTATCTTGTAACACAATTCAAGGCTTGTTTTGAAATCTTCGGTATCATGGTCACGAGGCACTGAGCGGTTATCATAGTGAAGTGACATCAGTTCGGTGTCATCTAAAGATCGATCTTCGCAATTCTGTTCGGGTAAAATGACGTGGCTGCGGAA